AGAATAATAGATACCTGCGCCAATAACGTGTCCCACACATAGCAATTTCCATTGGTGTACCCAGCAAAGAGGAGCCGGCCAGAGATGGAAAAAGCAATTGAAGTCACCTGACGGACCTCATTATCATTGCTCGGTTGACTACACTCTTGTAGCTGGTGTCCCGTTCTAATGTCAAAAAGCTTGCACGTTCCATCATCCGAACCTGTACCGAACCTATACCCATCCGGAAAAAACTTTACGGCATTAACATCTCCCTCGTGACCGTGAAAAGTACGAACCGCTCGACTCGCAACACGAGTGTCCCACAGACAAGCGGTTGAGTCGCAAGAACCGGACACGAACATTCTGGAGTTGGATCTATTAATCGAGACACTGATACAAAAAACAGCACACCATCGCATTTTCTTGATTATGATATTTATTGAGATCTTTCACATAGCTGAGGTCAAAGATGGATACATACAAAAAGTACCCTTGAGGATTGACCTTGGTGAGTATTGTAGTTATTTTAGTTTTGTGTTGTGTCTTATGGTTAGGCATATATGACCGTTGGTTCTAGAGGGCATTATACAAATTTTTCCAAAAAAATTCAATCATTTTTAACTAATCACTTTTTTTTAACTCAAGTCTAACTCAACCCCATTATCCTCAAAATTATCAATATAATTAAATAATATCACTCAATCATTCTTACACATTACATCAAATTTAATTCACAATTTAATTCACGATTCATCCAAACTAACCATCACTTCACATAACTTCTCTCCTATTTTTACATCAAATAAACTTTAATTATTTTATTTTAAATATTATTTTAACATAAACTCCAAATCCACTAACAACTAACCATACCACTTTTTTTTAAAAAAATTAACCATATCAAACCAAAAAATCCAAACAAAATAAGAAGAAAAAAAGAAATCTTATATCCAAGCATCCCCTTAGTACTTTCATATGATTTTCTTCTTCTAAGCTGTATTTTTCCTTCTTTGTGACCGTTAACTACTTTTTGCAGAGCAATACAATTTAGATTTCCATGGCTTCTCTCTATTTCTCCTCTCTGATTTACCATTGAACAGACCTAATTACAAAATCCAAATAAAAAAAGTATGTACCTTAGAACATCAGCAGTATGCCCCAACTGGAAATCTCCACCAAATACAGATGTCCTCAGGCCAGTGGCTACATCCCATAAAACACACGTATGGTCACCCGAAGCAGTTATTAAGTGTGCATCTTCATCGGGAACATATTGACATGATGACACATAACCCTTATGCCCACTTAGCATTTTCGATACCGGCAAATTCCCATCTTTGTCGATATGAGAGTTCAGGTTAATGATAGAGCACATACTGTCAAGACCTCCACAGGCAACTGATTGACCAGAGGGTGAGAAGGCACATGTCATGACCCATGCGCACGGAAGCTTAATTGCATGAGTTTTCTGGCTCGTGAGAGCATTCCACACAATTAATCTGCCATCTTGAGATGCGCTTACGATTCGATTCTTTTCTGGGGTCCAATCCAGTGCGTACACCTAAAGACAAAGATAAAGAAAAAATGATTCGGGAAAGAGAAAAGGGCCTGCATGTTATTTGTACACGAGATGCCTAATGATTTGTAGTCATGATTTATGGTTGAGAAATAGTTTCTCACTAGTTGCAGTGTTTCGTTACAATCTTCAAGGACTGTCATTAAAGTTGAGACAATCTGTCATTAATAGAAACCTAATATTAAGCGGAGAAAAAAAGGGCCAAAGAAGACTAGTTCTCAGCAAACTAAATCTAATGAAGATTCTAATTCTAATAAGCATCATAACACCACTATGGATATGTTTGGTAAAACTAGTTGATAAGCTAGCTTATAGCTTATAAGTGATTTTCGAGCTTATAGCTGAAAAGCTAGCTTATATGATAAAAGTGTTTGTAAAATTAGCAGCTCAAATAAAAATTCCAACTAACTTATTTGAAAAGTTAACAAAGGAGCTTATGAGAGCTTTTTACAAAAACAAGTCCTACCAAACGGAGCTTATTTGGGTTATTTGGATACAGAAAACTTACAAGCTAATAAAATAAGCTATAAGCTAGCATATTGGGTTGCCAAACATAGCCTACGAACAGGTAATGTGCAAAAGGACCTCAAGAGAAGCTGGACATTATGTTAACATGGAAAATCCAAGTCTTTAACCAAGATAAGTGTAACAGTGCAGGAGCTATCTCGTTATATGAATAAGATTTTCCAAAATGTGAAAATCCGATGCTACAAATCTTCTAAGGTTACTTTTCGAAGCTAATATTATTGTTGCAAAAATAAATAATGGAAACTTTTGAAGAAACAAAATACAGAATGAACAGCCTTTGTCACTTTCTCATATCAGCTAATGTTGATCATCATAAATTCTATAGTTTTGGGTCTACGCTAAGTTCAAAGCAGGATGCTACTTAAAATGATAAAAACAAAAATCCATTTCCCTACTGCATAGTCTACAATCAACAAACATTTCCTAATTTCTCTTCGTCATCAGAATTGTCAAAATCGATCAACTGCAAAGTCCCCAACTAATACTTTTCACACAAATACCTAGTGCAACAATGCAATCCAGCATCGACATATAAACTGCACATTACAAGAATGAACAATCAAAGCATGCATTTGTATATAAAGTAAAAATCGTTTAATGTTGTATCACTAGCTCATGGAAAAACAACAAAAAAAATTACAAAAACGTGGCCTAACTTCTCTTGGTCATCAGAATTGTCAAAATCGATCTACTGACTAAAAATTTTCACACATACCGAGCATCACAATTGAATCCAACATCGATATATAAACCGCACATTACAAGAACGAACAACCAAAGCATGCATTTGTATTTGATGTAGAAATCGTTAAATAGTTCACCAAATAAAAAATAAAAATAAAAAAATAAAAAAAAAATAAAAAAAAACCACAACAATAACAACAAAAGTAAAAATAAAAAATAATAATAATAATAAAAAAAAAATGCTTACCNAGCAATAAAATTGGAACCATCAGTATCCAGAAAAAGCCGACGGTTGTGCTTCAATCTGTCCCTGAGCGTGTTAACGGTCTCCGTGGCGGCCATGTGACGCTCCCTCAGTTCATCAACGGACATCTGTTTTCTCAACGAAATTCGAGAAACGCAACAACAAGAAGAAGAATGAGCAAAGGAATTCCAGCTCTACAGCTCCATATGAACCTTAATTTTCAGAATTTGGGAATGGGAAAAGGGATCCATGAAAAAGGGGTGGTAGTGTTGAGGGAGTCCGGGGAATGTGTGGCAGCGAGGTGGACTGTTGCAGACTTATTACAGTGATGGAAATTTTTGTGTGTTTGATAGTCTTGATTAAAAAAATCATATTTAAAGTTTTTTATTTTTAAAATTTTAAATACTTCTTAAATTTGCATTAAGCTATGTTTGTATACAATGGTGACTACAAAAATTATTCATAAATCTTTTAAAAATAAAATTAATTATATGTTTTTCTTCAATTTCAAAAATCTTTTTTTAATATAATATTATTCTTATTTGAAATAATACTAATCAGTCCTGACATTTACTTTTCTTTATAATAATTTTCTTACTTATATTGTAGAGTTGGACGTCGTTTACTTCAAGGGATGGGATAACACAAATTAATCCCCACCACTTTCCACGTCATCATTTAATCCCACGTTTACTTTTGGGGATGGATTTTGTCTAAAGTATCCCTTATTTACTTTGATGGATTAATCAAAGTCATAAAACCAACAAAGACTACACTACCCCTGAAAATCCCTTCTTCCTCGACAAAAATGTTAGACATCGGTTTGCCCTAATTCGACGATAGGCGAGCTGCGACATCACTTCCGACGAGTACCTGCGGTTGCTTCACTTCGAGGGTTGACGACGTCCATCTGATAGCCCTGCGATTACCTTCTTCCTCGACATCCAATTGTAACTCGGTTTGCCCTAATTCGACGAGAGGCGAGAGGCGACATCACTCCCGACGAGTACCCGCGGTTGCTTTACTTCGAGGGTTGACGACGTCCATCTGAAACCACACAAATTATACGCCGACGGCCGGCGAACACTCTCCCAGGTACTATGAATATTTTCCGGTAATATTTCCGTTCATTTTTTCCTACGGTTCTTTCCGTTCAATTGACGAAGATTTTCCTTTCATTTTTTGTTCGATATTTTTACCAATTATATCATCTATGACTTCGACCTCTTGGATCTTCTCTTGAACTGAAGCTATCTTGGATATTTTCTTCAGCTGCCCTAATTCCTCGAATTTCAATGCGTCAACTTTATTCCTCTAAATTTTCTTGAACTGATGCTGTGTTGTATGTCGACTAGGCTTGTGTTCTTCCTTTCCCAGCTAATATTTGAAGTGAGGGTTGTATTATGTTGTAGAACCTGTGGGTGGATCTAAAAAAGTGATGGGTAACTGAATTTGTTTTCATTTCTTCTTGCGGTTCTCATTTTAAATTGGAAGCATCTGAATTCGCGTTCGTAGTTATTTTGAGTGTGTTTGGTGCTAGGAAAAAAATGATCTTGGGTGCTGTTCCATTGTTTCTGATTGAATTGGATTGTTTCTGTCTTGAATTGTTTGAATTGTATTGGTTCTGTCCAATTCACTTGCGTTTGCTGATTTTGATCAGTCTGCTTCCCATTTCTAATCTGTTTGGAGCATGTTTTAAGTTAGCTTACGGCCTTATCTGCCTTGGTTATTAGTAACCGTGCAACACGTTGCGGGAGGAAATGTTATGAGCCCTGTTTTTGTTGTATTCTTTTCGCGTTGATTTTGTTGTTGTTGTTGCTTAATATGTTTATCACATGATATGGGATTGAAATGAAGTTTAGGAAAAGAGAAATGATAGTCATGTTGTCGATTTCTGCCTTCTCTTGCTTGAGGGGGTTATTTGTAATCTGGAATGTGGGTTTATTTTGATCAAGAATGTGGATTTGAGTGTAAAACATGAACTATCTATTAGTTCTTACAAAAGGGGTAGTTTGATTAGCTTTCATGTTGAGTTTGTTGCCAGTTTGTTCTCCAATCTGTACCAACCAATATTTTTAACATGTGGATTAGTTGCGCCTTGATCAGTATTATCTTATTATCTTATTCTTCTCTTCAGGCAAGCAACATGTCAAATACTTCTCGGACGAGTTCAACCAATCGATATAACAGGGGCTCTACCCCGTTTGGTGTTAGGCTGTGTGACCACGATGAAGAAGCCGATGTGTTGACATCAATGACACCTGAAAACCCAGCCCGAAGGTTCTTAAAATGTCCTCGCCGGAAGGTAAAATTTTTAAAGTTCACTGGTTTATATATGTACATGAATTTTAAGGTATGGTTTAATGTGTTCAATGAAATTTAATGTATGGTTTAGTGTATGGTTTATATCTGCACATTAAAGTTTTTTATGTATGGTTTATAAAGTTTAATATATGGTTTAATGAATGGTTTAATGTATTTTTTTTTATATCTGTACATGAAGTTTTATTCTCGGATTTAATTTCGACCTTCACAGCCCGATCCTCCTTGTCGCCTTTTTGAGTGGATTGACCCCGAATTGCCGCCGTTCCAAAAGGGTTGTTTCAACAGGCTCAAGGCTGAAAAGGATAGGTTGCAAGAGCAGCTAATGTGCAAAAATGTGATGGAAAAATTGCTAACGGAGAGGTTGGACTTAAAAGCCACCGAGATCAAAGCAGTGGAAGATGCGAAGATTCGGATGATGACTGATTTGGAGATTGCAGCTACCGAAAAAGTTGAACTACAGTTCAGGCTTGATCAAGTTGTACGTGAAGCTCAAGAGTTGAGGAAGAAGGTCACATTCATGAAGAAATGTACCTTTTGGGGAATCGTTTTTGTTGTTTTACTCTTTTGTTTCTTTAAGTAAGGTTGTTTAGCATTAAACATGATGATGTTGATATGTATTCTATTTTACTTTTGTAAGACATAATTTGTTTTTTAAACAGCTACGTTCTATCATTCTGACAGATGGTCATTACATTGAAGCATTAGTTGGTTAAACAATGCACTATGATTTCTATGCCAATTATGTGTTTTCATGTGACGTGCTATGACAGGTCATTGTGGCAGGTCTATAGGTATTCTGAAGCTTGCTTTTCTTTAAAGCTGAGTTGATTTGACTAATAAAGGACTACACGAGCATGTTCACCTTTAATGTGTACAAGTCTGGGATGCCCAAAAAAAAATGTCATCCCTATCAGTGAGATTTATGCATATCTAATTTGGCACGCTAAAGAAGATATGTTACATGTTGCAAAATTGGAAAAAAAAATAAAAATCGATAGATATTTTAATTGGTAGATAAATTTAATTAATAAATAAAACTTTTATTATTTTTCAATTAAAATCGATAGATTAAATTTTTATTTTTTAAATTAAAATCGATAGATATTTTAATTTTTATTTTAATACTAGCTATAGTTATTCTTTTGTTTTAATTATTATTTTAATAAAAGCTATAGTTATTCTTTTGTTTGTATACAATATCTATCATTATATAAAAAGAATAACCTTTTTACAAATTTAGAAACTTTTTCCCGCCAAAATCATTAAATATATCCTAATATAGTAATTGTTGGACAAATCTGAATATGCAAAAAAATCGGCTCATTTTTTTTAGTTTATCAAAACCGTTGTTTGACAATAAATATTTGTTTTTTTTTTCCTATTTTTAGTATAAATCTACACGCTTATCTCTTCTGTTACAAAATCTCATTGCATATGATCTCAGGTGTTTAAAAAATCTCATCCCTTATCTATACAGATTTAAAAAAATAAAATAAAATAGAAACCAATTCATAATTACTACTAGAAATTCATTATTTTTAAAAAGAAAAAATAAAATAAAATAGAAACTAATTCATAATTACTACTGGAAATCCATTATCTACTTTAAGAAGCTAATTTTCATCGGTCTAATTACTAATATTTTTACAAATATTATAAGCTAATCGGTCTAATTACTAATATTTTTACAAATATTATAAGCTAACCATACAAAAAAGTATAATTATATTTGAAATGGTGTGCAATCAAATTTTTTTATATTCTCTTATATAAAATAATTTTACATTGTTTGACCCCGAATCTTTAATTTATAATTATTAAGTATTGTTTATCCTCCTCTTTAATTTATAATTATTTTTTTTGCTTCCTCTTTTTAAATAGGAACAATAGTAGTTTCTACTTCCGTCATTGACTTAAATTCGAGGTCTATTCATAATATTATTAATTTAATATTGTTTCCGTGCATCGCACGGGGTATACACTAGTTGATATCAAAAGAATATCATCAACTTGTTCATACCACTAGTGTGTGGCCCGTGCGATGAACGGTAAAACATATTACGATTCTATTATAAATTAGATATATAAATAACATTAATCATGATTTACCCATTGTTTTTAAATTAAATTGGGGTGGACGCAGTTCGACCGGATGGACCGAGAACCGGTTTATAACCAGTCTAGTTCGATTGAATAAAATGTTTGTTGTCGAATCCGTCAACACCAGTCGGTTGGATTGGTAAGAACGATACGATTTCCTAAATAAAATTTGTTACATTTAAAATTATTTTAAATTAAATTACATATTTAAATAAAATCGAGATTTATAAATTGTTTAGATATTTAAGTAACACATTTTATTTAAATTATTACAAAAGTACTATATATATATATTAAAATGTTTATAAATTAAAATCGAACAAACCACAAATGATTTAATAAAATAACTTGATTGTTTCGATGACTGTCCGGTTCTGAAAACCTTATAGTTACTGTACATTAACAAAAATTATAATAAAATATTATTTTATTCACATAAATATTTTTAAAATGATATATAAATATTTATAAATTATTTAACATGTTGTCATAAAAGTATTGTTAATATGATTATTTGAAGTTTAGATTACATCACATTCACGTAATAAAATATTTTCAATATTAAATTTTATATTTAGGTTCAATAATCGATTTTGTATGGTCAACCTGATACATAACTTAGTCACTTGAGACCAACCAAGTTGTGTCAAGTTTTTTGACTATTTTAAATATCACCTAAAATAACTCAATCAATCTGGGCAGTGCCCTAATTCAATCACCCGATTGATCCAAATAATTTTTCTTATTTTATTTAAATATATTCAATTTTATGAAATAAAAATATTTTATGATTCCTATAATAAATGTCTACACCAAATGATAGTATATTAAGATTATAAATTATATATCTAAAGATGAATTAATTATTTTTACTTTATGCATATTAATAAAAATAAACATAGTCATTATCAAACATTTAAGATTAATTGATTGATTATGCAATTTAAAGAATATTTTTAGCGTTCAATATTTTTTTTAAAGGCACAAATATAAAGACCGGGATTCTAAAACTTTTATTATATTTTGAATTGAGATTTTATAAATATAGAGACCGAAATTTTAATGTTGTTTGTTGTTTATAAGAAAATAAAATAAAATATGCACACTTAATAGATCTTAGCAAGATTTTTTAAATAATAAAATGAATTAACGCCCGAAATTTAAGGTAACATTTAATGATGTATGATTTTTGAAAGAAACAAATAAGAAAAATAATAAAACTTACCATTTATAGGTTGCATTAAATTCTGACCTATTTTGTTACTACTATTTTTTATAAATGGTTATTCTTATTATCTATATATATATATATAGACTATAAATGGTTATTCTTATTATCTATATATATATATATATATAGACGTCAAATGACACCAGAATGACTAAACTTATATAAGAACAAAATTTAGCACAAATTATTTTGAATGGAGAATTAAAAGTGAAAATAGCTATTTTCACTCCGTTTTGAAGTCCTCCTAAGTTTTTTACACCACCTAATAAAAAGCTAAATTTTTCACCCCAAAAAGTACGAAGACATATGCGATGAACCATGCGATAGATAGACGACCGGTATGAGAATGGGCGAGAAAATTATGAGTTAAAGTATGCGACTGTTCTGCGACGAGTATGCGGAAATTCGATGTACGATTCGGTCAATCGCGGTCCGTCGCCCATTAAATAATTATTCTTGTTAGGCGAATGAATCTGTGACTATTAGTCGAAAAGATTATTCTGCGAGATACGAACGTCGAATATTATTCGCAGAGTTGGTGCATTATAAGGTTTTTTCGTATAATGTTTTTTATTATTTCTTTCATCTTTCAGTTATGCGATGGGGTATGCGAATTTTCGCATATTGCTCGCACTTCTACTCGAAAGTTATTTTTTATTTCTTTCAGTTATTTCAGTTATGCAAGGAGGTATGCGTATTGCCGCATATTTATCGCATATCCCCTTCGCACTTCTACTCGAAAGTTTAATTTTTATTTCTTTTTTATTTCTTTCACCTTTCAGTTATTTCAGTTATGAGATGGGTATGCGAATTGCCGCATATTGCTCGCATACCTTACTTTGCACTTCTACTCGAAAGTTTATTTTTTATTTCTTTCACCTTTCAGTTATTTCAGTTATGAGATGGGGTATGCGAATTGCCGCATATTGCTCGCATACCCCCTTCGCACTTCTACTCGAAAGTTTATTTTTTATTTCTTTCATCTTTCATCGTTTAATTTAGTTTAATTATTTTCTTTCAGGTACGAGAAATGCCACATACATACAACAAACAACAAAAATATAATAAAATGCAAAAAAAAAAAAAAATGTATTACATGAGTAATTACAGAACTGGGGCGGTAATAATTGTTTCTGGTTCTGTACTAAACTGAAAAATTTGTTGAGCAATTTTGTGCCTCATGTCCGTAGCCCACTGCTGGTTAGACTTGTCTAAGGGCTTGCTCCCCATTAGCAAAGCTCGTACCATCTCCACAACGCATACACCACAAGAAATTTTATCATGTTGCAAGATAGTATTTTTCGGGTTCATGATTTTCAAATCGAACTTTTTGCTCACCCTCTCTACTCCCGCATACGTCGCAATAAGTGGAATTAGATTTTGGACTTTTTTGAATGCTTTGACGCGGGATTCGCCAATGTGCTTATCCGTCTTTTTTTTATATGTATGCCGTAGGGGGTCATACACACGTATCGTCCCCTCGAGTAAAAGGATCTGGAAAGCTACGTAGTGCTCCGACAAATTCGCAACTCCAATAATCTGTTGCATTGAGTTGTGAGAAATTCACTAATTTTTTAGGAAAGATTGCAATATTAATTGATTCGGAATCATTGAAAACTTACAGATGTAATATCCCTCCAAGTAGACGGATTCCCCCAATCGCTGACCCCCTCATTCGCATAGCGAATCAAAGATTGGAGGTTGTCCGAGTCCGCTAGCTCCTTTTTAGCATGGACCTCCTTCTCCAATTGCCCCAGAATCCACTATATAAAATACAACAAAATAATAAATAATAAAGTAATTAATATAATTATTAATTAAAATAAAATGACAAGAAAAAGAGAAAGAATTAAAATAATCTCACAAAAACGTAGTCGGCACGATGGTATAACTTCCCAACATGTTGTCCGCTGGCTGGAACCCCAAAAATAGTGGATTGCTTTGCACAATCCCCAAGTATGCATTCACGTGCTGTTTCATAAAATCAAAGCAAACATCATCCATGAATTCATTTTTATACGTTAAGATATTGTTACAAGACAAACATATGAGTTACAAGACAAACATATACATACATCTTCCTCCATCATTGTAGCCGGATCAATCAACTCCTTAAACCAGTGTTGACCCACCTCATATTTAACGTCGACATTCCTCCTATAAAATAATATAATAAAAAAATATAAACAGTAAAAGATCTTTTGGATGTACTTACATTTCTGGCTTCGTGGATTTGAGGAACTGTTCAAACGCGCGCTCATCTTTGGCATACCGTCTGTTCTCGTCGGGACGATATGGACTTACAACAGCACGTCCAAGAAGTGGAGAAGAAGTGGACTGCAGCACCGGTGTCTCGGGGACGGGATTGGGGATGACTGTCTTGGAGGTGGAGGGGTTAGCGGCGATTGCCTCGGAGGTGGAGGTGGGATCGACGGCTGTCTCGATGAGGGAATTGTGGACGGCTGTCTCGGAGGTGGGAGTGGTGGCACGCTGTCTCTTTGGGGAGGGGGTGATAGTTGTCTCGGAGGGGGTGCGGGGACGGCTAGCTCGGACTCGGGAGGAGGCTGTCTCAGATGGGGGTGTGACAGATTGGCCAACTCCTGTCGAATAATAGTCGGCACCTCCCGTAGAATGATTGCCGACACCTCAGAGGATATTCTAGCTATAACATTAGCCATTTCAGCCCGTATGCACGCCCGAATATCGTCAATAAAGGCCGACCCATCTGTTGGCCTCACCTCCTCCCGGTGCATCGGACTATCTTCACCCTCAGTCCGGGCCCATTTCCTCGGGTGCACAGCGTCGGCCGCAATTTGAGATTGCAGAGCCAACGTGGACGGCAGTGCCGAGACTTGCATACGGCAACTGGCCGGGTTACCCCGTCGCAAAAATCAAGGCCCCTCAACATTCAAAGTCGAGAGGTCCAACACGCCATTCTCCTCCTCATACAGCTCCAGCGTCTCATACACCTCCAACTAAATTTTAAAAAATAGAACATAAAAATAAATATAAAGAAATCATCAAAAATAGTTAAGACTTAAAAAAGAATTTCGGATATCACTTGCTAACGATTCCAATAAAAAATGTTTAGGATCAAATAATATCTGTTTGTCAAAAAATGTATCAAGAAGAGTGACCCTCCTCAGTTCTCAGTGAACCAGCCGTGGTGGACGTCTCTCCGAGGTACGTGTTCCACATGTACGACCTAATTCAGGGATTGCCTCGTAGCACCATACTAGAAACGCCCAGTGAAATCCATAGATATGATATTTCATATTAGTGTATTTGGGCGACTTCAAGTACTCCAACAGGTACTAAAACGAGTAACTCCCCCATGGGAATTTCTCTTACATCTGGTCTTCCTCAAGCAAAGCCCACCAGCAGCTATCAATATACCAAGGCTTCTTGTCGTCATGAGGAATGATAAAGTACATCAGCATTAGCATCTTCGCCACTCTCACTATCACATCCCGAGAGGTACGGAACTGCCTCGCCATGAAGTCACCACGCAACTTCTGCATAGTAATCCGCTTGCCTTTATATTTCTCAATGAAAATCGACGATGGAGGAGGAGGAGGCGCTGAGTTCGGGTCAAACGTAGACGATCCAAAAGCAAGCCCCGTCACCACAGCATACTCATGGGCGGAGAATCGGGTAAAATGGCTACCAATACGGAACCACATCTCGTTCGGGTTCTGACCGACACGAGTCACCTCGCGTGAAAGAACCCCATGCATTGCCTTTGCAGAGACATTAGCATTATCATCAAACTGGAGGAACGGACCAAAGACCGAGCCCTGGAAAGCAGTCAAGGCCCCTTCAACGTTGGCCAACTCTTTATTGATATCAGAACATATCAACTGTCGGCTGTAAACGTTGATCTTCAGCCCTTTATATTTACATCAGTTCCTTTCTCTTGTACGACCAACCCTAAACAATCGCATTGTTGTTGTTGTTGTTGTTAATTATTCAAATTAAATTACTTATACATTATCAAATAAAAACAACTGTTTCTTAACTATGAAATTAAATAACTTAAATTAAATAACTGCAACAAATGGAAGTTACCTCTCCAGAAGAGATGGCCTCCGGACCCGTGCCTTCAATCGCTGAGTTTCCGCCCGCCATACTCTTTACGGCAGCCGTTTAGTCGCCGGCCGCAATAGCCATTAAGCCACCCGCTTGGTCGGCTGCCACTTGAATAGCTAGATTCGTCAGTTCTTCATCATCTCTTAAGAAGTCCATGATGTCGACGTCATTCATAATTTTTGGTTCTTTTTTTCTTTTTAAATTTCTAACAGTTATTTTGCTTCCAAATATGCGAATTAATGTCGCAAGATGGAATCCCAATTTTTCGCCCCTCTTTCTTTTTTGATTTCTTCTCTGTAGAGGTGCAACTGTGAAAGTAGCGGATATGAGACGTTTCGCTTTCCTTTTTTTTTTAGATAATAAACTATACGACAAAATACGCGAACAAGCAGAAGTCGAGTAATATTCGCGTAACAAGCGCCATACTTTCGCAATTCCGATGCATTTTTAATTTTTTAATAAAACATATAAATATAATGGTTTCGCAGTTTAATACCCTGCGGTAGAGAAATTAGGGATTTTCAGATAACCACAACAATAAGCAATTGAAGAATGTATAACTGTATTTTGAATGAAATTAGGGGTTTTAACCACATTACAGTCACCTAAATTAAGGTTAGAAAAAAACCCTAATTTGTCTTCAAAATTAAGGTTTACAAAATAACCCTAATTTATATTCAGAATCAGGGTTTGCAAAAGAACCCTAATTTGTATTTAGAATTAGGGTTTGCAAAAGAACTCTAATTCGTTTTCGAAATTACGGCTAGCAAACGAAATTACGATTTGCAAAGAACCCTAATTTCATTATAATGTACGGAATTTAGATCCTCATTTCATTTTAATTGTACGAAATACTCTGCGACATTACATTGCACGAATTTTTTCCATAAACAAAGAAAGATAATATCACTGACCGTATGTGGGAGATCCATTGTGCATACGAATCTTCTTCCGGATGAACACCTTCTCAGGAATCATTTGGATTCTTGCTTCTCAATACTTGATTTTGAGCTTTCGATTTTTTTACCTTCGGAATTTCAGAAAGAATTTGAGAACGATGTAGATGGAGGGTTTTTTTCTTCAGAGAGAATTTGGGAATGCGATTGTGGGGAGAAGTGAAGTGACTGTTCATGTTCCTGCCTTTTCATATGTTTTCCCTCCATTTCCACGTGTGTATACACGTGGAATTTTTTTTTTCTTTTCATTTCTGCCGCCACGTGTAATTGAGGTCGTTCGCGTGTGAAATCCGGCTCCACGTAGGCCGAAAGAGCCGTTAATGTCCATCACGTGCGTGTCACGTGCGTGTTTCCGGGCAATTAACGAGTTTCCGGCGAGTCGAGGACGAATGTGCAACCTTTTTTAAAAGTTAGAGAACGAAACTCAAAATGTCTATTCGAAGAGGACTAAATTGTCAAGAGGGGTAAACTTACATGACGAAAAATGCACTTTTCTCCAAATAATATAAGAAACATACTTTTACCTACATTTATTCGTTCTCCAACTTCTCGACATACTCAGTTCAGATTTCAAACATTTTTTTTTTTTTTTTCACATATACTATTCCTTTTAATTTCGCGCTCTTCTGTTTTTCTCTCTGACTCTGTGTGTGGTGATTGTGGTTCCGACCGAAAAAAGATTCAAGCTTTGATGGGCCGTAAGCGTGTCAATGCTGATCCTAGGTTTCAACCTAAGAAGGTGACTTTCTCCAAAATTATGCCGCCTTTTTCTTATTTCGTAAATGAATTAGTATAAAAACTCATTCTTGCTTCGTTTTGGGTGTTGTGGTGATGTCTTAAGGCTTAAATCCCTTATTATCATGTCCAATTTGGGTTTTTTGCGTGTTTGTTTTGCAGCTTGGATTTGTTGTATTGTATAATGTATTATCGGATTCAGTATCAAAAAAACCCATTCTTTCTTCGTCTGGGGTGTTGTTGACTTGTTGGTGTATGTTTTAAAGCTTAAATCCCTTATTATCAAGTCCAATTTGGGTTTTTCTCGTGTTTGTTTTGCAGCTCGAATTTGTTGTCTTGTCTAATTTAACATGGGATTGATCATCATAAAAACTCAGTCTTGCTTCGTTTGGGTTGTTTTCAGTGTATGTTTTTCGGCAAAAATCCCTTATTATCGTGTCCAATTTGGATTTTCAGGTGTTGTATGTTTTGCAGCTTGAATTTCTTGTACTGTCTAATCTAATACGGCATTCATTATTATTGATCTATTATATGTAGTGTCGTAAAAGATGCCTGGATGATCACTTAACCCGGCTTCCAGACGACGTTCTGGCTATCATCCTTTCATCCCTTTCTCTAAAAGAAGCCATCCGCACAAGCATCCTCTCCCATCCCTGGAGAAACCTCTGGAAACGCACGTCCCGTCTCGACTTCGACGCCACCCGCGCCCTCGACAGAGTCGGGGAATCCCTCCTCTTGGAAGGAGATGCCTTCGAAAACACGTACAAAATCGAGAGGCTTAACTACGCATCCTGGGCCGACACAGTCCTCGAGGCTCGATTATTCCACTTCTCTGTGTTTTAAGTGCGTGAACTTGAGCGGTGAGGCTATCGAGTCGTTCGTGCGAAACTGCCCCTCTCTCGAGCGGCTCGTCGTTGTTGTTGTTGTTGTGTTTTAACACATTACACATAAATAAATTAAGAATTTGTTTCTTGTATCGTATGCCACAACTTTCCTCCCAAAACATGTAGTGTATTAGTTAAATGAGGGTAACGATGGAAAAAAATGTATAAAAGATCCAAAACGTCATTTATTTATTTGATTAATGGCCAATAAAGCCAAAATGACAAATAAAAAGAATATGAGGGAGAGGGAGTATTATTTTATTTATCCGAACTCTGGTAGGTAACATTGAGTAACACTCGATGTCTCAAAATCGATCGTGTAGGTATGTTTCAACACGTGCCAGTTCCCTGAGCTGCCCAAACTAAAGAAGTTGGTTGTGGAATTCCGGGCGATGCATTGTCGAGGCCTTATCGGCTTTATGCGACTCGTAAGAGCATCTCCTTACCTGCAAGAATTTGTTGCGCGGGTGAGCCTCCTCCTTCTCCTAGTATACTGCTAATTAGTTGCTGCTGGAAATATTTCTTTAATTGTATATAGTGAAGGAAGTTTTAGAGTGAATGATTATTTGACCCGAAACTATTCAATAGGAAATTATTGAAGGTGGTGAAAGGGACCTTTTCCGTTTTATTATCAATTCAACAGTCTTGCTGTTGAAGAAAAAGTATGCATATTTGTTTCCTAACGGTGCAGCAAGAATTTGTGTCTACTTAGTTTGGAAATTGGAAAAACTCGAACCCATATGCCATATATGGTGACCTGAAGTAATGTTTTCTTTAATTTTTTGTTTTTTTTGTTTTTTTTTCCTGTGTGTAGGCAAATTGGACCGCACCTTCAAGGTTGTTAAAATTTGAGGCACCTCCTGCGCAATTTCCACACGTACACCTGAAAGTGGTCGAATGTTTTGGCTTCTACGGATGTGCAGGTGAATTTGAGTTGATCATGTGCATGTTACAAAACTGCATGGCTCTTGAGAGAATAATTCTCGATCCAGTCGTCACTCGTACCTTCCACATAGGCCCATCTTTCCCGATGAATTAGAAGCCGCAAGGCATTCCACAAATTTCCTGCATTCTGCCAAGAAACAGCTTGAAGCCAAAGTGCCTCACGTTCGACGTGTTGAAGTCGTAGTTCGTTAATTGTGCGGTCGATTGCATAATTAATTCAAGTCCTCACGAGAATTTTCTTTTGATCATGTATATTATTAGTATGCTGTCATAAAATATGATAGTTTCATTGTGTTGGAGTAATTTATTTTGGTTAGGAAAGTATATGTAACGGACCACACACAAACAATCATCGACTTAGTAATTTATTTTTTGAGTTGTTTTGTTTAATGTTTGTGTTCAATTTCGGATTTAGGTTGCTTGCTTACAATCCTCCTAGATTCAACTTGGTTGATTCAGTTGTAATTTATTCTAGGAGTGTAGTCTATCTGATGTTTTGTTGTCTAAATCCCCAGGGGATGATTGTATAATTGCTTTCTTGATTATTGTCAAGTAACACGGATCATACTGCAGAAATCAAAAATCACCAAACACGTCTAAAAATCCCAGTTTTCCCACCAAAACCTAGTTATACTACATATACATTATACACGAACCAAAACCACAATTTACATAACATACAGAGATTAGTCGCATGTACCCTCAAGGCATCCCACACATTCGGCAAACACAAACTCCACAATAGCTTAGAAATCTGAGTTATAGAGAAGGTTTATTATTAAGCCATGCTTGAATGGCTTTTATGTACAATATCAAGAACCAGCTCCATTTTTCTTACTTTTTTTTTTTTTTGGATTTTTATGAAAAAGATGCAACGATTTCTTTTTTTCATCATTGAGAGGGCTCTGACTGAAAGGGTCGGTTTGCACGACGGAACCAAGTAGTGAAGGCAGCAACCAAGTGAGGACAATCGTCCACATTGCGAGTTGAGAAGCTAAGGCACTGTTGAAGCAAATCTTGAGCTTCCGGCAAAGGGAGTGTAGATATAATGTTCAAGAATGTCTGCTCGAGCTCCAGGAAGACTGATTTATGGTTCGGCCCCATAGGTGAAGGGCTGTCTTTGCATATGATCAACACCGGGAGCCATTCTCTCACGAGCTTCATTCTAACCTGTTCGAAAATTATGTAGGCAGTGAATGAAAAGTGGTTGAAAATGCAGAGCTTCGGATATAAAACACGCGAACTCCATGCCTCTGTTTGCTCGGACCAAAAGAGGAATATAAGGGGAAACTGAGCCAAAGCTAAGTGGGCTATAAACCCGAAGTGCGCAAGCCTTTTTGAAATGACCGTGCCAAGAAAAAAAGTACCTATTACTTATCTCATTCTTTGCTAATTTTTTTGATTTTTCAGTGGCAAGAAGACAAGACCTGATATTTGCCTCAATCTTCTGTTGAGTTTTCACAGTGTGAATGTGATTCACAATTACTACCAATTTTCACACCCAACTTTCATCAATTCTGTAAAAATGGTTAGTGCTCAAGACTGGTCCTAAATTGTTAGCCACAGCTAAAAGCCCTGCAGCTAAAGAGCCATGAAAATCTTCTATGGGGTTCAATCATTATTACCCATAAAGCTGGTGACAATAGCAAGTTTTACTCTCAGACAAGAAACAACCATTTCAAGATCACATCACTAATGGAACATTAATACTGATCCATGACTCCACGTCATCCAAACTGTCAATACCCATATAGTTGGTGATCATAACAGCGTGTTATTTCTTCGACCAACTAAGCAAACATTTGAAAAATATGTTATCTTCGCCACAACACGCCAAATGACACACTCATATACAGGCATTGATGAAATAACTGAGCTACTGAGCTTACAGATGGAGATTCAAAAAATGACAACCCAGTTACCAAATGCCACAGCTTAACAAAACAATTCTAGGTATCTAAGCAGTAAACCTTAGTCACTATCCATTACTCACCCCACCCAGATTCCAGAACTGGTAACCTATGAGTTGGGAACCAATAGTTAGAAATTACGGAAATCGAACATCTGAAAGCAACAAAACCGACCGACTCACAAGTTAAAATCATAGCACAAAAAAAGCACATCGACAAACAAGGACAAGACAAAAGGCAAACCTGTCTATTAGCCAAAATATTTCCCGTGGCCACAGCATTGGCAAGCCTGCATGTGCAACGAAGAACTACAGCAGGGAGGCTCGGCACGAAATTTCTCCATGCATCATCACGGAAAGCCCTCTGCAAATCTGCCGTGAACGAGGCCTGCTCGCTCCATATCTTGACAGCAGTATCCGCCACTTTCAGCTCAATCATCCTCTCCACCAACCATAGCAGGTGTTTCCCGTTGGTCATGGCCGTATGCAAATTGAGCCTCTGAATAGCTTCTGTCTCATTATGATCCCCTCTGAAATCAGGACTAGAGTACTCCTCCAGCGACTGCTTCACAACCTTCAAGCTCTTCTCAAAAGCTTTATCCAGAACCTTCCTGGCGGACTCCTTGGATGAAAAATCCCTCAACAGTTTTGCCACGAATGCCTTCGCAAAGGCCATGTTTGGGTGGTTGTGAATTGCAGAGAGTATTAACCCGTGAAGCATCTCCTCAGACGAATCACTCCTGGCCGGAGAAACCCTAGCAAGGAGTTCCTTCGACTCTTCATCGCTAAGAAATGGAATCAGGCTTAGAACCTTTTCTTCTTCATCTTCAGACCAGGGCACTGCCTCAAGGAATTTAACACAGGCTTTGATGCAGTCTTCGAAAAGCAATTCCAGTGCTATAGGAAGCAGATTGAGCGCGCCGGACACGGTGTCGATGGCGGACAAGAGATCGTCCGCGTAAAGAAGTTGCAAGACTGTTAAGTGGTATTTTACGGAATCGGAATTAGCCGGAACATTAAGCTTGAACCTGTGGATACTGGATGCATTTTCATCAGATTTGCTAGAAGAAGGCGGCCCGTCCTGACCCCGCCATCGATCGGAGAGAAGCGCGGCGAAGTACCTCGACCGGCCGAGGACGCGCGAGTGGAGGTGGATCTGAATCTCGGACCGATCGGTCGGCGCAGTGGCGTCGGGGACGACCTCCGGCGGCTGATCGAGGAGGAGGCGGAGGACGACGTCGGCAGTATCCGCGTCGTTGAAACCGCCGGGGAAAGAGGGGGCGATCGGGAGGAGGGAGTGAGCGGAGGACGAGCGGCGGAGGCCGGGCGGCCTGCGGGAGCTTTCCGCTGGGGCTCCGTCGGCGCCTGATGGATCGCCGCCGCCGCCGCCATCGGCGGCTGAGAGACGGCTGCTGCTGCCGACGCGCTGCTTCTTCTTCAGCGAACCGCCACCGTTGGTCATTCTGCGGCGACGAGAAATTGACGGGATATTGGGAGTTGAGAAAACACGATATGAAATGAAGGTTTTTTTTATTATTAACAGAGATTGTGACTTGTAAACTGAGAACGAGAGCACATTATCCAGTCGGCCGTACACTCGCGCACTCAATTAAAAAAGATGGGAAATAAAATATACAAAAATAATGTCATCCTAATCTGGAAGTGCTGGACATCTCTCATCATATGGCCATTTCACTGTTTCGGGTCGAAACCGTATGTTCAAATTCAAATTTTATGTGAACCAGAATTAAAAATATATACGGGTCGATTCAATAAACAAGCGTTTCACGGTTTAAATTTGGTCCATCGATTCTGAACTGAACCGACAAATAAAAACCTAATCAGAACATAGTAAATCATTTTTTTTAAAAAATTCACCCAAACTTCGATTTATGTCACATCAAGCTTATAAATGTGGAGGAAATTGTTCCAACTAACCCTTTCTCCATTAGAAATTTATATATATAATTTCTGGCAAGCATTTAATAAAACCCTCCAACATTTTTCTGTAAAAAATGTATTTCAACTAAATATGGTAAGTTTTTACTACTTTATCAATACGGTAACATTTTTATGGTTATTACTAATTGTTATTATATATTATAATATTTTCTTAATTGTTTATTATATATAGTAACGTCTTTTTGATTTTTCAAAGTATTTCCATCCTTTATTTTTCATTTTAATTCTTTTTGTAACCTCTATTAGAAAACAATTCAAATTGAAAAAATAATAATAATTTTGTTAACAAATTATATCAAAATTACTTCTTGTGGTACAAAAATATTTAAGTACATATATTAGCACTATAATATTATTTACTGCAATACACGGGGTATATGTTGTCCTCCCACCATTTATTCGTACAATACATATATATTATATATATATAATTGCTGGCAAATCATTAAATAAAACCTAATAAATTTTACCTATGTAGCATTTTTTCTCCAATAACCATTACAATTCATTATTATTATTATTATTATTATTATTATTATTGTATGCATCGGGCCCAATTTCGGGCTTTGCTTGCTGACAGGGGCTGGTGACGTGGCGATTTTGCTCACATGGCTGGTGACGTGGCTGACAAAATCAATATAATTGCAAATATAATCAGCAAAATCGCCACGTCACCAGCCCCTAGCAAGCAAAGCCCGAAATTGGGCCCGGTGCATACAATTGCCAAAAATTGTAAAAGTAGTGTATATATTTGCCAAGTTTAAAAGTGATGCATATAATTGCAAATTTCGAAAAGGTCATGGTTTTATTTGCAATTAAGCCTTTATATTAATTGGGTAATATTTATATTTTTTATTGTATCATATAATAGGTATTATTAGAATTAATAATTATATTTTACACTAAATTACATGTATAAGTTACATAAGCATAAAAAAATATATTGTAAATACCTATTGTTCAAGTTATTTATTATAAAATCAATGTCATATTTTTTTTTATCTTATTAAGCGATTGTTTTTTAAATAAATTAATTTGTTTTATGTCATAGTAAAATTTCTTAAAATTTCATAAGCAATTGTTATAATAAATTTAACATTTTTGAGTGAATTAATTATTCATGATCACCCAAAATTAAAAAAAAAATACATTATTTATTATATTTTATTCAATCAATATAGTGATTCATATGCAATCAAATCGTTATGTACTATTTATTTTAACAAATCGAATTTTAAAACATAATATCATTATCTAACTTATAATAATGTTATATGAATAAATATATTTATAATACTCTATGTTTAAAATATAATGTCATTATCTAACTTATAATTTTTATATTATATGCATAAAATAACTTATAATATTTTATTCCTCTCAAATTCTTAGTTCTCCATTCTCTATGTCTCACCCTCTCTTTTTGAATCAATCATCTTCTTCTCGCCCTCCCTACTCCTCTCTTCACGCAGTCACGCTTGAGTCGCCGCCCGAAGTTCACACGTCTGGAAATTATACAAATCGCAGCTGAGCGAGTCACACGCCCTTTCATCTTGTTGGAAACAAAACTGATTTGGTGGAGAAGATGTATGGATTTTTCTGTTTTATGCTTTTGTTTGTGATTTTCCATGAAATAGATCTCATTTAAGTA